CTTCCTCAGTCAGCCTGGCAGCACCTGCCACACTTGCATTCATGCTGCTTACCCAGCTTGTTCCCATTCCAGCCCTGGCTGGACACAGATACAACCATTACTGAGACCTCAGACAAGACAGCAGTCTCCAGCCCCATGTTCTTCCCATATTTGCTCCCTCTGGATCCAGCTGCTTTGAATTCATGGCCACTTCCAACATGGTATTTGAAATGGGAGGTTTGGGAAGGTTTAGATTGGATATTAGGAACAATTTCTTCATGGAAATGTTTGTCAGGCCCTGGCCCAGGCTGCCCAGGGCTCTGGGGGGGTCCCCATCCCTGGAGGGGTTTCAAAGCCCTGGAGATGGTGCTGAGGGACATGGGGCAGTGGTGGCCTTGGTGGTGCTGGGGTGACAATTGGACTTGATGATCTGCAAGGTCTTTTCCAACCAAAACAAACGTACAATTAACACATCTTCTTGCAAGTCATCATGGCAAGTCTCTGGAGACCCAAACCTCACTGCTGACCCTTGGCAAGGAGGAGAAAGCAGGTAAACAGCAGCTTTTGGAAGCTCTGGTGAGTGGGAATGGGAAGGGAAGGCTGCTGGTGCAGCCAGGGGACCCTGCTGGAGGGCATCTGTCCCCCAGAGCTGCAGCATTCCCATGAGAACAAGTTTCTGTGCTGAAATGCCTCAACCTCCCCTCCTGCCTCTCTCCCCTTCTTAATTGGTTTGCAAATGTCAAATGCTTTGGCTCTGTGTTCCAACCTCTGTCTGGCTCCTGGTGATACAGCCTAACCCTCACAGCTCAGCCAGGGCTCCTGGCCCCCCCAGTCCCCCCCTTTCCTTGCCATAGCAGCCAAGCCCCTGCCGGGCTGGCCATTGTGTCCCCCATCCCTGGCCCAGCACCTGGAGACCTTCTTGTAAAAACTTCATTTGCTGGGGAAAACTTTGATTAAAACAGCCTGGCAGGGGGTTCCCCCACTCCCGAGTCAATATTGGTTTTGGAACAGATGGGGGTGATGACAAGATGGTTTGGGGGGGG